ACTTCTTATAAATCACATTATGATTCCTAAAATCATACATGTAGTAAGTACTTAGTTTTTTAAAAATATAAGCAATACTGATGTTTATAGAATAAAACGTTAAAGTGCCATTTGTCCTCTTTCTGTTCCATCTCTACCTCAACCCACTCTCTTACTTGCTGTTGAACCACCTGTAACTTTTGGTACACTCCCAGGCTTTTTTTTTTTTTTTTTTTTTTTTTTTTTTTGGTACGCAGGCCTCTCACTGTTGTGGCCTCTCCCGTTGCGGAGCACAGGCTCCGGACGCGCAGGCTCAGCGGCCATGGCTCACGGGCCCAGCCGCTCCGCAGCATGTGGGATCTTCCCGGACCGGGGCACGAACCCGTGTACCCTGCATCGGCAGGCGGACTCTCAACCACTGCGCCACCAGGGAAGCCCCCTCCCAGACTTTTTTTTTCCTCCCAGACTTTTATAATAAAATATTTATGGTCTTCTGCAACATGAACAGATGCCGGCACCCCAAAAGTCACCTTGTCGTGACATTCCCAATTATTACCCATTCCTTCCCTTGAAAGTAATGCCGTTTTGACTTTTAGGTAATCAATCCTGTCTTTTCTTTCTAATTTTACCAACAGCTTCCATCCCTCCCTAAACATTATAGTTTAGCTTTAGTTTTGCCTGATTTCAAACTTCCTATGAATGGAATAAAAAAGTATGCATTCTTTTGAATTTGCCTTTCAATATTCAACATTATATATATGAGATTGATCTATGCTGTTAAGTGTAGTTATTGCTCATTTTAATTTCTATGTAGAATTGTTTTCTCAATATATTCACCTCTCACTGAATGCATTTCCACTTTGGGACCATTATGAATAATACTGATATATATGTTTATTTTTTTCCCTGGAAGTATATCTTGCTACATGTGTACACACATTTCTGTTGGGTATATAACAAGGACTGAAATTACTGATCGGGTATGCACAGCTTAACCTTCAGTAAATAATGCCCCAAAGATTTTCAAAGTTGTTGCAGTAATTTATATGCCAATTAGGAGTGTGTGAGAAATTTCTTTTATCCATAGTCATTACCATCACTTAGAACTGTACTTTGAAATTTAGTCATTCTGTTAGGTACTTAACATCTCATTGTAGTTTTATTTTAATGTTATTTTTGAAATGGCTGGATTTACGTCTGATGCTTTGCTATTTTCTGTATGTCTCATGTCTTTTATGTTCTTCCTTGTTTTTTTTTTAAATTAAATACTTTCTGTGTATTATCTTAACTTTGTTAATTTTATTTTGCTATAATTTTGGGAATTTTCTTAGTCACTGGTCAGGGATTACAATATGCATTTTAACTTATCACAATCTGCTTCAGAGGAATGCTAATTTAATTCCAGTAAAATACAGAAACTTTGTTCACATGTAGCTGTATTCCTTCCCCTTCCTCTGTGCCTTTGTAATCTTTGTGTATGTCTTTATTTCACCTTCATTTTTGAAGGATAGTTTTAAAGGATATAGAACTCATGCTTGACTGTTTTTTTCCTCCAGTACTTGAACATAACATCCTCCTACCTTTAGGCCTCCATTGTTTCTGATGAGTCAGCTGTTATTGTGGTGACACTGCACATGAAGTCATTTTTCTCCTGCTGCTTTCGAGATTTTCTTTTATCCATTTGGCTCTGAGGCATCTAGGAGTGAGTCGTTTTGTGTTTATTCTAACTGGAGCTCACTGAGCTTCTTAGATGGATAGAATAGAATTTTTCTTCAAATTTGGGAAATTTTGGGCCATTACTTCTTCAAGTTTTTTCCTTGTCCCCCCCACCTTCTGGTATTCTCATTATGCATATGTTGGTGCACTAGATGGTGTCCCCCAAATCTCAGAGGCTCTGCCCATTTTTGTTTTCTGTTCTTCAGACTGGATGATCTATATTAGTCTATCATGTTTGCTGATTTTGCTTTCTGTCAGCTCAGATTTGCTCTTGAGCTCCTCTAGTGGGTTTTTCGTTTCAGTAACTGCATTTTTAAATTCTAGAATTTCCATTTGGTGCTTTTAAATAATTTCACTCTCTTTTATTGATATTCTTATTTATTAAAAGATTAACAGCTTCGTTGAGGCATAATTGATATACAAGGAACTGCCTATATTTCATGTGTACTATTTGATATATACAAACAGTGATACCATTGCCACAATCAAGGTAATAGACATTGACTCTCTTATTTGATGAGTCACTGCGTCATCCATTAATTCTTTAAACATGTTTTCCTTTAATTCTTTGAAGTCTTTCTTTGTGAAGTCCAACATTTGTTCTCCTGTCACCTCAAAAAAACTGTATCTATTGATGACTTTTTTTTTCAAGTGTACGGGACACTATTGCCTGTCCTTTGCATGTCAAATGTTGTTGTTGAAAAATGAATATTTTAGATAACATATTTTAGTGACTGGATTCTGATTGCCTCAGCTTCCCTCTGGAGTGGTTGTTATTGCTTTCCTTTGTGACCTGCCTGTACTAATTCTAGTGGAGTCTGTGTCCCCTGCAGTGTGTTGGCCTCTGATATGTCTGCTTACTTTTTTCTAGTTTTTAATTATTGTTTTTATTTTTAACCCTGGTCTCCTAGGGTTCTCCCCTGGGTCAGAATAAGTGGTCAGCCAATGACTGCTTAGAGGTCATGCTTAAACACCTTGTTATGGGCTGAACTGTGTTTCCTCTCAAGTTCATGTTAAAGTCCTAACCTCCAGTGCCTCAGAATGTGACTGTATTTGGAGACAGGGTCTTTAAAGCAGTAATGAAGTCATAATGAAGTCATCAGGGTGGGCCACAATCCAATATGATTGATGTCCTTATAAGAAGAGGGGATTAGGACACAGACACACACAGAGGGAAGACCATGTGATGACACAGAGAGAAGAAAGTCATCCAAGAGGCAAGGAAAGAGGCCTCTGAAGAAACCAACACTTGCCAACACCTTGATCTTAGAATTATTCCAGCTTCCAGAACTGTGAGAAAATAAGTTTCTGTTGTTTAAACCATCCAGTCTGTGGTAGTTTGTTATGGCAGCCCCAGCAAAGTAATATACATCTTAAGCTAGTCAGACTACCACACTTTGTCAATGAATCAGTAGAGCTTAAGGAAGGTATTCAAAGTTTAGGCCATTTGTAAATCTGTCACAGCTTTTATTTTGTGTTTGCGAGGCCTCTTATTCAGCCAGGAGTGAGAGCTCACTGGGGCCCTCTCCAGTCTCCTTAGTGCATGCCCACTCTCATCCAAATTTGTAATATTCCAGGCCACAAGGGATAAATAGGGTACTATCAAGGCCCACTTTGGCTACCTTTTTCTCAGAATCTCCCTGTTAAGTTTCTGGCTGGTTGCCAATTTCTTGCCTCAACAAATATCGCAATCTTAGTTAGGCTAGGTGTTATATTGGCTTTTCCAGATTGTCTGCAAAGGAGATCATTATTGTTTTAATACCCCTGGTCATAAAACTTTCTTTGCTCTGCTCCAAATAAAATAAGCCCTCTCCAGCAGTGGTCCTCACAGTCTGACTCACCCAGGTAAACTTCTGCAAAAAGGAACCTGGGGCTGAGGGGGCAAGCTGGAAGGAACTAGAGCCGCTCCAAGCTAAAATGTCACAGACATCCACTGTTCTTACCCAAGGTTCAGTAACTTTTCCTAAACAAACACTTCTCAATTTGTTATATTCTTTGGTAAATTTCCAGAATCTTTAAAAGGTCGTTTATTGACAATTTTGTCCAGTTTTTTTTTTTTTTTTTTTTTGAGGTACACGGGCCTCTCACCGTTGTGGCCTCTCCCGTTGCGGATGCGCAGGCTCCGGACGCTCAGGCTCAGCGGCCATGGCTCACGGGCCCAGCTGCTGCGCGGCACGTGGGATCTTCCCAGACCGGGGCACAAACCCGTGTCCCCTGCATCGGCAGGCGGACTCTCAACCACTGCGCCACCAGGGAAGCCCTATCCAGTTTTATAATTTCTTTTTAGGGAAATCTGCCATGTCCTCACCCAGCCATTCTGGAAGCCCCACCATTCCCTTTTCTTAGAAAATCCTTTTTCATGTAGTCTCATTGTTACTTATGCACTTCAGTTAGTCTCTGCTCAGAGGGTCTTCCCTTACCATCCTATGTAACATAATCTTTGCCTTACCTCCTTACTGTGTTTTGTTTTACTCTACAACACTTTTCCGCTTCCTGAAATTATTATATATTTGTTTGTTTATTGTCTTTCTCTCCCATTGGAGTGCAGGCTGCTTGATGGCTGGGATGTTGTTTTGTTAATCACTGCAACCTGAGTGCCTATTACACTGCCTAGTAAATAACAGGCCCTCCATAAGTATTTGTGAAAGAATGAATGAGTGTTAGATATCTCGCTTTTTTAAGGTTGAGAGGAAACGTCTCATCAACTTTTGTGGGATTGTGAATTAACACAGCATTTTGGGATGTTATTAAACTTGCAATTACACTTCTAGGAAGCAACCACCTACAGACATTACTAGCCTTGTATGCAAAGATATATGTAGTGGGATGTTCACTGCATCACTGTTTGTAACTTAAACTGGAAAGAAGTTAAATATGCAGCAGCAATAAAGGAAATGTTAAAATAAATACTAAGGAAAACCATGATGCTATTAAAAGGCATTGTTTACATATGCTTACAATGGAAAGATGTTTATGACAGCTGAGGAAAAAAGCATGTAACAAACTAAGATGATCACACAATTAGTAAGAAAGAAAAGTGTGTGTATGTGTGTGCATGCCTTTTTGTATAGATTTTGATATGTGAGCATGATGGGGACTATATTAAGAGGAGAACAACATTTTACTCTACAATTTTTTTACATTTTAATATTCAGTTTCACATGTTACTTTTGTAATTTTATAAACAAAAAAGAAAAAATTTAAAAAGTAAATACTATCACAAATTCTATTTTTATTAGTTCCAAACATATTGCATCAGAACACTTCATCTCCTCCTAGAGTGTGCTTACTAGAAATCTACATCTCTAGATTTGCCAGAGGGTTACATCAAAACTTACCAAACCAACACAGCCGAAGATCGTGTATGTGAAAGCAATACACAATTCCAAGGGGTAGAGGCCCAGTAAAACACGTGAAATTTCTCTCCCAAGTTTCTGAAACCAGAAAATAGGGAGACATCTTGCATTATCATCTTTTGTAAAAATTAGAACAATTTTTTTATTGAAGTATAATTTACAATGTTGTCTTAGTTTCAGGTATACAGCACAGTGCTTCAGTTATATATGCATATATGTGTGTGTGTATATATATATATATATATATATAAATATATATATATATTCTTTTTCAGATTCTTTTCCCTTATAGGTTACTACAGAATATTAAGTGCAGTTACCCATGCTACACAGTAGGTCCTTGTTGGTTATCTACTTTATATTTAGTAGTGTGTATACATCAATCCCAAACTCCTAATTTATCCTTCACCCCCTCCCTTTCCCCTTTGGTACCATAAGTTTGTTTTCTCTGTCTGTGAGTTTATTTCTGTTTTGTAAATAAGTTCATTTGTATCTATTGAGATGATCGTATAGTTTTTACTCTTTAATTTGTTAATATAATGTATCACACTGATTGATTTGTGGATATTGAAAAATCCTTGTATCCCTGGGATAAATCCCACTTGATCATGGTGTATGATCCTTTTAATGTATTGTTGGATTCAGTTTGCTAGTATTTTGTTCAGGAGTTTTGTGTCTATGTTCATCAGTAATATTGGCCTGTAATTTTCTTTTTTTGTGTGGTATCTTTATCTGGTTTTGGTATCAGGGTGATCATGGCCTCAAAGAGTGAGTTTGGAAGTGTTCCTTCCTCGGCAATTTTTTGGAATAGTTCCAGAGGATTAGGTGTTAACTCTTCTCCAAATGTTTCGTAGAATTCACCTGTGAAGCCATATGGTCTTGGACTTTTGCTTATCGTAAGTTTTAAAATCACAGATTAATTTCAGTATTTGTAATTGGTCTGTTCATATTTTCTATTTCTTCTTGGTTCAATCTTTGGAGATTGTACCTTTCTAAGAATTTGCCCATTTCTTCTTGGTTGTCCATTTTATTGGCACTTAGTTGCCTGTAGTAGTCTCTTATGGGCCTTTGTATGTCTGTGGTGTCAGTTTTAACTTCTCCAATTTTCTAATTTTATTGATCTGGGGCCTCTCCTCTTTTTTCTTGTGTCTGGCTAAAGGTTTATCAATTTTGTTTATCTTTTCAAAGAATCAGCTTTTCATTTCATTGATCTTTTCTATTGTTTTCTTAGTCTCTATTTCATTTATTTCTGCTCTAATGTTTATGATTTCTTTCCTTCTACTAACTTTGGGTTTTGTTTGTTCTTCTTTCTCTAGTTGCTTTAGGCATAAGGTTAGTTGTTTGAGATTTTTGTTTCCTGAGGTAAGTTTGTTTCACTATAAACTTTCCTCTTAGGACTGCTTTTGCTGCGTCCTATAGGTTTTTTGGATCGTCATGTTTTTGTTTTCATTTGTCTCTAGGATTTTTTTTTATTTCCTCGCATTTCTTCAGTGATCTGTTGGTTTAGTAGCATATTGTTTAGCCTCCATGTTTGTGTTTTTTGCAGTTTTTTTCTTGTAGTTTATTTCTAATCTCATAGCCTTGTGATTAGAGAAGATGGTTGATATGATTTCAATTTTCTTAAGTTCACCGAGGCCTGCTTTGTGGCCCAGCATGTGATCTCTCCTGGAGAATGTTCCACGTGCACTCGAAAAGAATGTGTATTCTACTACTTTTGGATGGAATGATCTATAAATATTAGTTAAGTCTGTCTGGCCTAATGTGTCATTTAATGTCCATGTGTCTGGCCTGTTTCCTTATTGGTTTTCTGTCTGGGTGATCTGTCCATTGATGTAAGTGGGGTGTTAAAGTCCCCCACTATTATTGTGCTACTGTCAATTTTTCCTTTTATGTCTGTTAACATTTGCCTTATACATACTGAGGCGCTCCTATGTTGGGTGCATGTATTATATATTTATAATTGTTGTATCTTCTTCTTGGATTGATCCCTGGATCATTACGTAGTGTCCTTCTTTGTTCCTTGTAACTGTCTTTAGTATAAGTCTATTTTGTCTGATATAAGTATTGCTACTCCAGCTTTCTTTTGAGTTCCATTTGCATGGAATCCCTTTTTTCCATCCCCTCACTTTCAGTCTGTATGTGTCTCTAGATCTGAAGTGGGTCTCTTGTAGACAACATATATACAGGTCTTGTTTTTGTATCCATTCAGCCAGTCTATTTCTTTTGGTTGGACCATTTAATCTGCTTACATTTAAGGTACTTATTGATATGTTTGTTCTTATTGCCATTTTGTTAATTGTTTTGGATTTGTTTTTGTAGGTCTTTTTTTGTTTTCTTTCCTCTTTTGTTCTCTTCTTTAGCATTATGTTTGGATTCCTTTTTCTTTTTTGTGTGTATATGTATTATACATTTTTGGTATAGCAGTCTATGTATATATCCACGATTGTTTTAAATTGCTCACCTCTTAATTTCCAGTGCATTTAAAATATCCTCTATTTGTACTTTCTTTCTCTCACAATTACTAGTTTTGATATCATATTTGTGTGTGGATGATTTCCTACTTTTACTGTATGTTTGCCTTTACCAGTGAGCTTTCCCATTTTGTAATTTTCTTGTTTCTAGTTGTGGCCTTTTCTTTTCTGCCTAGACAAATTCCTTTAGCCTTTGTTGTAAAACACGTTTGGTGGTGTTGAATTCTTTTAGCTTCTGCTTGTGTGTAAAGCTTTTGATTTATCCATCAGATGTGAACAAGAGCCTTGCTGGGTAGGGTATTCCTGGTTGTAGGTTTTTCCCTTTCATCACTTTAAATACATCATGCCACTCCCTCCTGTCCTGCTGAGTTTCTCCTGAAAAATCAGCTGATAGCTTTACAGGAATTCCCTTGTATGTTATTTGCTGCTTTCCCCCTGTTGCTTTTAATATTTTCTCTTATCTTTACTTTTTGTCAATTGATTACTATGTGTCTTGGCATGTTCCTCCTTGGGACTCTCTGCGCTTCCTGGACTTGGGTGACTGCTTCCCTTCCCCCTTTAGGGAAGTTTTCAGCTATTATCTCTTCAAATATTTTCTCTGGCCCTTTCTCTTTCTCTTTTCCTTCTGGGACCCCTATAATGCAAATGTTGGTGCATTTGATGTTGTCCCAGAGGTCTCTTAAACTGTCATTTCTTTTCATTCTTTTTTCTTTATTCTTTTCCATGGCAGTGATTTCCACCAACCACTCTGTCTCCCAGCTCACTGAACCGTTCTTTCGCCTCATTTATTCTGCTTTTGATTCCTCTAGTAAGTTTTTCATTTCAGTTATTATATTCTTCAACTCTGTTTGTTGTTCCTTATATTTTCTTTGTTAAAAACTTCTTGTAACTTTTCCCTCTGTACATACTTTCCCTGAGTTCTTGGGTCATACTTACAATCATTATTCTGAACTACTTCTTGTGTGACTGACTGCTTATCTCCACTTCACTTAGTTGTTCTTCTGGGGTTTTATCTTGTTTCTTTCTCTGGAACACACTCCTTTGCTGTCTCATTTTGTTTAAATTTCTATTTGTATTTTTATGTACATGGTAGGTTAGCTACATTTATCGACCTTGGAGAAGCGGCCCTCTGTAGGGGATGTCCTATGTATCCCAGCAGTACACTCCCCTCTCATCATCCAAGGGCCAGGGGCCAGCTGGTCCCAGCGTAGTTTCTGATCTGTGTTGTGGAGTCATTTCTGCAGGCTGCAGAATCATAGTTTTCTTGCTTCTGGTGTCTGCCACCTAGTGTGTTAATAAGCTGGTTTAGAGGCTTGTACAGGCTTCCTGGCAGGAGGGGCCAGTGCCTGCCCACTGGCGGGGTGGAGCTGGGTCTTGGTCCTCTGGTGGGCAGGACTGTGTCAAGGGGCATGTCTAGACGTGGCTGTAGGCTCAGGATGTCTTTAGGCAGCCTGTCTGCAGGTGGGTGGGGCTGTGGCCCCCGCCTAGTTAGTTGTTTGGCCTGAGGCATGCCAACACTGGAGCCTACAGGCTGTTCAGTGGGGCCAGGCCTTGGCGCTAATGACCAAAGCAAGATGTTGCCTTGAGGAGTGCTCATGCAGATGAATACTCCCTGATATGTCTGCCACCCGCTTTTATGACCCCAGAGTGAGCCACAGACACTCCCTGCTTACCGAAGAGACCCTCTAAGACCAGCAGGTAGGTCTGGCCCAGGCTCCTATGAAGTCACTGCTTTTAACCTGGGTCCTGGTGCATACAAGGCCTTGTGTGTGCCCTCCAAGAGTGGAGTCTCTGTTTTCCTTAGTCCTGTGGAGCTCTTGCAATCAGGCCCCACTGGCCTTGAAAGCCAAATGCTCTGGGGGCTCCTCCTCCTGATGCCAGACCCCGAGGCTGGGGAGCCTGATGTGGGGCTTAGAGCTCTCACTGCTGTGGGAGAACTTCTGTGATATATTTATTCTCCAGTTTGTGGGCCACCCACCTGGGTGGTATGGGATTTGACTATATCACGAGTGTGCCCCTCCTGCTGTCTCGTTGTGGTTTCTTCTTTATGTCTTTTGATGCAGAATATCTTCTTTGGTAGGTTCCACTCTTTTTTATCGATGGGTGTTCAGCAGTTAGTTGTGGTTTTGGTGTGCTTGTGAGAAGAGATGAGCTCACGTTTTCTATTCTGCCATCCTGTCTCCTCCAAGTTTAAGATTTTAAGATACCTAAAAGATCTTGGAAACTGTCTTTAAGATGTGTAGTTATGGTAGAGGCCTGTAGTGAGGTCCAGTCTTGAGCCAAGTCACAGCACCAAGAAAAGTGCCCAGTCCTTATGCGGTTCTCTCAGCTAAGAACCCAGGAAAACCTGAAGCAGCAGAGAGGAAGCACATGGAGATCGGCCCTCTGCCCAGATTGTGGAAAAGCCCAGAGGGCACGCTGCCCTCACCTGCATTGTTATCTTTAGTAAGTGCAGATATGGTCATGGAAGGAGCTCCTAATGTGAGAGTCAAGGAAAAGGGAAACAGAAGAATAAATAAGCCTCTTTCACCGTTTGACTTCCGCAGGCATTCCTATGTGCCTGTGTCTTCTGCTTCGCTTTCCTAGCTTTCATTCTTGACCTTCATCACTCAGCCGTCTTGTCTCAATTCTTGCAACGCTTCATCCTCATCCTCTTCGCTAGAGTCTCTGGCACAGCTCACTATCCAAACTCTTCAGTCGACGAGATTTAGCTATTCTGTCTCCAATGATAAGAGGGCTACCAGGAGATTTTATCAAGCGATTCTCATCATTAAAACAGCCATTATTAATTACAAACTTACTTAAATTTACGTGTGTAAAAAGCTCACACAGAAACTGCTATAGTATCAGATGGAAGAATGAATAAATTCAAAAAGAGACACATTTCACTCGGAAGTATAAGGTGATTGTGATTTCTGGGATAAATATAGCAGATCCCTTTTGTTGCTATTGGAAAGGTACTTTCAAATACATATGAGGATGATGATTTGGTACTAAGCCTGAAAATAAATGTAGTTTCTGTGCTGGCTGTTCATGCCTCTGAAAAATACTTCTCATACCATAAATCCAGAGCTAGACTGCCTTTGTTCAGATACTACCTTTCATATTCACTAACTGTGTGACCCCTTGGACAAGTTTCTTAACTTCCCCGTTCTTTAGTTTCTTTATGTGTAACGGAGAAGATGCTATCACATATCTATTAGTTAACTGCTCTGTCTCTCCCAAACTCCAAGCCTGTTGTTCTAATGTTCTAATGACTTTTCTACTTGGATATGCTTCTGTCATCATCATCTCAAACTCAAAGTACTGTACTGCAATATGGAGGCCAGTAGTAAGCATGACAAATAGTATCATCGGAAGGCTGTTACTTCCAACCATTCTTTCTCCTCCAGCTTTGAATCAGATGTCACCAGATTCTATCACCCACTATCCCTTCTGGTTGAAGTCATCTACTGACCCCTTGGTCACTCTTCTATTTCTAGGTGATTTTAATTCTTTTCTAACCTTTTCTCTCACACCTCTTAATCCTTGGTAATTTCAGAGTATTACTTACATGATCTTTCTTATAACCTGGGCTTGTAGTTCTTTGAATTTCTCTCCTCTAATCCTTTGACTCTATCTTATCTCAGTCACTCACTCCCATGTTCATCCTCTTGTACTTATTTCTGTGAATAGGTGCAACACTTTTCAAATCTCAATTTTAATGATCTCACGCTGTCCACCACCTCCCATCTTTCTAGCTTACAACCTGCAGTATTGCAACTCTAACAATCCTTTGACCCCCCTCTGGAGCTATAATCTGAGCCCCTTACTTCTGTTATATTCTTTTCTTCACCAGCTTCAATCCCATGGTCAGCTATTAAAAACGCTCATTTTTATACACTCTCAACTCCTTTGCACCTTTCTTGTTTGATCACAGTTGTATGGTTAAACCAAAATCTTGATTAAATGCAGTTGTCCTTCTTACTACATGACTGTGTCCATCAGCTGAACATGGCCTGAGAAAGATGTACATAACCATCTTGACCCATCTCACTAGACAGTCATGTTCTAAAAGCTTAAGTGAGTCCTTAATGCTGCATGAAAGTCATGCTACTTTTCCACAATCCATATACTCTCTCTTGCTTTTCCTAGATGACTACTTCCTATTCTCTTCTCTCTCCTCAAACAACCAATCCATTCTCCATTCACACTCTCAGATCATGATCTTGCTTCCTAAATTACTGAGATATTTGAGGTCATCAGAAGAAAGTTCCACAAGCTCCCAACACCCGACTACCTACCTATAAAATTTGTCCTTTCTCTCTGGTCCCCTACCTTCCCTCCTGTTAACCTGCCTGGCCACTATTTACATTAAAGGTGGATAATTTTTTGTTGGGGGCTGTCTTGTGCATTAGAGGATGTTTAGCTGCATCCTTGGCCTCTGCTTACTGGATGTACACCCACAGCTGTGAAAACCAAAAATGTCATCACCAAATGTCCTCTGAGGGGAAAAATCACTTCTAATTGAGAACCACTGCTAGAGATCAACTGTCCATACTCCTAGCTATTTGTGTATTAAAATGCTTCATTTCTTGCCTACCCAAGTCCATGATTCTAATAATCCCTTCCTCCCCCCATTTATCTCATATATCATCAATTTTATCTCTTCTGGTTCAGTCCCTTCAGCAAAAAACATGAAACAACCTACTGAAACAAACAAGCAAACCCTGCCCTGACCCAAGTTTCCCTCAACTACTACCTCATTCCTCTATACCACATTACACCAAAGCCCTTAAAGGAGTTGTCTGTATTTGCTGACTAATTCCTCTCCTCTCATTATTTTTTATTTTTTAATTTTATTTCATTTTTTAAGTTTTTGGCCTCCCCCACGGCATGTGGGATCTTAGTTCCCTGAACAGGGATCAAACCCACGCCTCATGCATTGGAAGGCAGAGTTTTAACCACTGGACCGCTGGGTCTCTCTCATTATTTTTTAAATCAATTCCAATCAGGCTTTTGCCCCACCTTCCGATGATACTATTTGTCATGCTTACTACTGGCCTCCATATTGCTAAACCCAATGGTCGATTCTCAGCCCTTGTCTTATTTGACAACATAACATGATTTAATATAGTTGATCTTTCTCTATTTCTTTGTTCACTTGGCTTTCAGGATGTCATACTCTGCAGACTTTCCTACTACCTTATGGCTGTAAGAAACCACAGAAGAGTGCAGGTGATGACAAATTTAGAAAATTTGTGAGTATAGACTCACTGTGTGAGGAACCTAAGGTAAAGACCCTAAATACGAAAATTAACCATGCTAATGGAGATTATGCTTAAGATTCTGTCTTTCACACATCTAAGGACAATCCAACCTATGGTTGTCATTGTGTGTTCACTCCTATATCTACATCTCTTGTAATAGTACTGGTAAATTAAAGGTGTTTAAAAAATACTTGTTGAAAAAAGAAATCTGATTTTGAATAAATCACCAACATGGGATTTAGTTACTTAGCTCTCCTGAAAATTTTGTTTAGAAACTGTTCCCTATGTCCCACTAGTGGCACGAATATTATTTACTGAATGATTAAATAATATAAATATATTCTACTTACAATAATTCCCCATACAGAACATCCTGTTTTGTAAGTTATAGGTTCATATGTCCCAAAGACTCCTTTAATTTGTCCTATATACAAAATCAATAGGAGATGCCACATGAAAACACTAAAGACGCCAATCATAATCTGGATAGCCTATGAGAAGAGAATGCTATTAGTATCGAAACCATGTAAGTGATAACAGAATTCCAAAAAGTGCTGACTATGAGAAACATTCAACATTTTTTTTACAAAAGATGAAAGTAAAATAGAAATGCACTTAACTATGACATTTCTGGATGGGTTAGTCCAAAAAGAGGGCCCTTATCAGGAAGTACTGAGGTTTACCAAATGGGAATCAGTCATACTTGCAGCATCAGACTGTTCAATAGTAATTCTGGTGAATCCTCCCATAGAAAAGTTGACACTCTGACTCTACTACTGGCTATCCTCCCCACCTAACAAGTAATGACGTGACAGGAGAATACTGAGGTTACTTCTTTTCCTTCAAGGCACATTTGGTATGGACCTTTTTTCACAAGCATGCTGAGGTGAGGTAGAGTCAACACAGAGATACAAAGAATACCCAAAGTAGACTTACTCGCACAAGGTCTTCCTATTGGTAGGGGAGAATTATTACTCAACTTTAATTTGTAAAAAGACAATTATCGTCCCAGTAAATATGTACCAGTAAATTTCTGAATTTATATGTAAACTGATATTTCAACTATGAATCACATTTTTAATTACTCTTTAAAAATGTCAGAGGATACATTATCTTCACTTTCATAAACTTTAATAGGAAGCTAGTTAATGTTTTAACTTTAATGGTTCCAGTTCTTTGTAAAGCAAGTAATCTATGAAACACATAAATGCAATTGGCTCATATTAAAGGTATGTTTTAGAGAAATTTTTTTTCATAGAAAACCCACTTTTTGGGAGTAACAAACTTATGCATTTAGATTCAGATTTTAAGGTTTCCTCTGAATCAAATTTGGAAGAATGAAATTATTTTCAAAGTTTCTTTGGATCTGATTGGGAGAAAATCCTTTACTAGATCTCAAAATCCTTGAGAGCCTGGACTTTAGTTGTTCCACTGTTGTCACCAGCCTCTAACATGGTGCCCAGCATACAGCAGGCACCCAGTAAATACCTCTTGAACAAGCACATCAGTACCAAGAACATTAATTCCACATGACTTTCTGTTAACTATAAAAGGAGTGAGTGGGCTTGAGAAATAGTGTCTACTTTTATATGGACTGCAGCTTTTCTATATAAAACTAAAAAATACCTAAGTAGCCAAATCTTGTAAAGGGCTCTTACAAGAAAGCAAGGCTGCTAGTATCTGGAGAAGGACAAAATGACTTTCCTCATTTAAAAAGTATTCTTAACCTAGAGCCAATGAATGGGTTCTAGGAGGTCATATGCTTCCCTTTCCACACACATAAATGAGTACAAAGGATTATGATATGTATATGAGTCTGGGGAAGAGATGCAGAGCTTTCTTCCTATGCCCAAGGAAGTCTGTGACTTGAAAGACGTTAAGAATCTCTGCTGAACAAGTCAGGTAGGAGACTTAGATAACTGGTCTATACAGTAGCCAAATTCAAAGGAGAAGTTCACATCCAGTGGGAAAAATTTTTTTCCCCCTCAGAAGTGACCTTTGAAATTCCTTGGTGTTTATTAAGAGAGCTAGATAAACTCTGTCTCTACTTTAATAGAAAAGACAAATTAATGATAATAGTCCTACTGCATAGGCATCAATATAGTAATTAAAAAGATCAGCGATACATCTCTCTCACAGTTAAAAAAATCTTTTTTTCTTTTATTACCTTTTTGATTTATCCATTGCTCTGTGTATTTTGATTGAGTCAGTACACATATCTAAGCACATATCTGTTTATAAAGGGCAATGAGATCACATTTGTAGAAGGCTATCAATATTTTTTTAAAAACCCAAAAACGTTTACCCTTTTGACTTAACCAAATCTGCTGCTCTCCAGATTCAAGAATATTCCTTATTAAATAGAAATAGTGCATCATCCTGAATTTAGTTAAAGCGAAGTCTTACCCCTAAAACAAGAGAATCTGCTGTAGAGACTTTTGAACAACACGCACATAGAGCCATACTACCAGCACTGCCTCTAGATGATTATGTCTCTAATCTTTGGCGATATTTTTATTAGCAAACATCTACAAAACAGTACAAAACACATATACACGCTTTGCTCAAAAGAAAGCTATCCTCCCCACCTAACAAGTAATGACGGTTTTGCAACCACCTCCCCAAACTCTGAAGCAATCGCTTTTCCATGGCTTAATGGTTAGAGGCCATTTGTATCCACCTGTTCTGAATAACAGTCTCCATAACTGAAAAGCCTCCCTCTATGACTAAAAAATATTGGTATATTACAGATATTTTCTCTGCGTAGTGAACAGTGTCTCTGGATGATAAAGTATAAAGAACACCTAAGGAATAGTGTTAGAGGATTTTCAGTACAGCTGCTCACAGTTCATTTGCAGTTCATAATCAATTCAGTGTAACTCATAATGCCATGTTTGCATTTTTAAAACCAAATTCTTGGACTTAAATTCATCATGGGCTTGTGATTTTTTTCGGACACATACTTGCTACCTAGTTCTTCTTTCTATAAGATGAACTTTTTCCTCCATGAGACAACTTATCAAAGTTGCTTCCACAATCCTAAAGGTTCTTCCTGTTTTGTTTTTTTTTCTCCTGCTATTCCTGCATTTTCCCCTGATGTTTAAATCACCTTCTTACTTATGTGAACATTAAAAACTTGGCTCATAATTGTAACCCCTTCTGGGATTTTATCCACTTTTGGATCTGAAATTACACTGTTTAACATCTTCTAACCCGGCATACTTAGGTCAATAACATGAGTTACACCATTTAGCCATCCAGGTGATCATCTAGCGGATGATCTCAAAACTTGAGCCTTGGACCTTCCAGAAACGAAAGAGGAGTTTGACTAAATGATCTGTCATTCGCTGCACCCTTAAAATCTCATGATTTGATTATTTTAATGAGCCTTTGGTTTCTAAAATTGATTTCCTGAATGTCTCTTAATTCTATAAAGTATAGAAACAGAAAAGGCTAGGTAAGAATACAAGAGCTGGTGAAAGCAAATAGAGAACATAATATGTTAATAACTGAATTATAACTAGTAAGCTTTATATATTCAAATATCACCTTTGAGAAATACCAAAGAAAGGCAACCAGGATTAATAGGCAACCAAGATTAACCACTCTGTCAGGTTTAAAAGACACAGAATTACAGAATTCATATAGAGAGTAATGAAGAAAATCATATCTAGATTGCTATTATTTGTCACTTTTCAGATAAGAGGAAAATAATAAAAATAGTAAGCCCTTTTGTGTATATAGAAAAAGTCTTTTCACATTCATAGTTTATGGTGGAAGCACCATGAGTGCTTGGGAAGTAGAACATTAGCATCACTATACTCTCCATCAGGCTCCCACCAAAACTACCTCAAATGAAGTATTCATTAAAATACTAAGAAAAAAAGTGTGTGTGTGTGTGTTTAAAATCGTCAATTTCATTGACAGTAGGAAGAAACTAATAAATGCTACAATATATTCCTGCAATAAATGATGGTTAGAAGTTAAAAAAAAATTCTGCATTGGGTTACTCTACTACCCAGTTAAAAACTAAAAGTAGAGTATAAAAATGAAATTAATCATTTATTTGTTTTCTGGTGATCCCGTCACTAAACCAAAAAGCAGCTGCAGGATAGCCCCAACCCTATCCTCACTCCCCTAAACTTGCGTTACATAGAAATTCTGGAATCACACAGAGCGCATGTCTAGAAACCGCTTCTCCATCTTTAGCATCTTCAGCAGGGGTGCAACTCATTGTCTTCAGAAAAAAGTGCAAATTCTTCGGCAGGGCCCATAAAGCCCTTCATGAACTGCTCCCTGCCCACCTTATCGGCCTCATCCTGGCCACTCCCTCAGTTTCAGCCCTAACAGGGCCCACAGCAACCTTCTTTGGGAAGCCTCCTCTGCCTCGTAAGTCTGTTAGATACTCCTCTCGCTGACCCCCTAACATTCTGTGCATACTTCCTATCAGGGTGTAGTCTTAACTTTTGATTTTCAGGACTGGCTTCCAAGTCAGTGTGAGCCCCCAGAAGTCTAGGAATTCATTTCTGTGTGTCCAGGGCCAGTCTTGCACTGCAACCAAGAGACTCAGACTTTATGAAATAAGCTACGAGATATTACCTCATACCAGTCAGAATGGCCATCACCAAAAAATCTACAAATAATAAATGCTGGAGAGGGTGTGGAGAAAAGGGAACCCTGTTACACTGTTGGTGGGAATGTAAATTGGTGCAGCCACTATGGAGAACAGTCTGGAGGTTCCTTCACAAACGAAAAATAGAATTACCATAGGATCCAGCAATCCCATTCCTGGGCATATATCTGGAGAAAACTCTAACTCGTAAAGATGCATGCAACCCAATGTTCACAGCAGCTCTATTTACAATAGTCAAGACATGGAAGCAATCTAAGTGTACATCAACAGAGGAATGGATAAAGAAGATGTGATGTGTGTATACACACAGACACACACACACACACACACACATATATATGCACTATGGAATATTACTCAGCCATAAAAAAAGAATGAAATAATGCATTTGCAGCAACATGGATGGACCTAGAGATTATCATACTAAATGAAGTAAGTCGAATACAAATATTATATGATATCACTTCTAAGGGGAATCTAAAAAAATAATACAAATCAACTTATTTACAAAACAGAAACAGACTCACAGATATAGGAAATGAACTCTTGGTTACCAAAGGGGAAAGGAGAGGGGGAGAGATAAATTAAGAGTATGGGATTAACAGATAAGCCTATACATAAAATAGATGAGCAACAAGGGTTTACTTTACAGCACATGGAACTAAATTCAGTATCTTATAATAACCTATAATGGAAAACAATGACTGTACACCCGAAACTCAACACAATATTGTAAATCAACTATAGTAAAATTAAAACAAACAAACAAACCAAAAAGACTGGTCGGGCAGGTGGGTGGGTGAGTCCAGCCCCTGCAAAGGGACGGAAGGAAGAGACAAGAAAAGGCGGGTGAGGGTGGAGAGACATTGAATTTGGTCTCCATGCCTCGCCGGGGCTTTTAACACTTAACAAACCCCGAAAGCAAAGCGACATCATTACCCCTCATTTTACTTGTTCAAGGTCCTTTCGCCCTCCGAGGTCCAGGTCCTGGCTAAGGGTGGGGGGGGGGGGTCCTTGCTGCGACCGAAAGCGATAGCGCTGCCCCTGAGCGTTCGTCCAGACTGGGTCCTCCCACCAGTGCCCAGGCCCGGCTGAGGACGCGGATCTCTGCTGGCGGCGCCCTCAGGCCCAGGTCCCGAGACCCTGCCCAGCCATCATCAGGGAGAGCGCAAGGCACCAAGGACCCAGCCGGCCCCGAGGCTCCTCGGGTGGCGCAGGCCTCCAACTACGCAGCTGCTGTGGGATCCTTGCGCGCATGCGAGCGAGCGGCGTGTTGGGGGAGGGGAGTGCACGTGCGCAGACTCACTAGAGTCTGGCGGGCCATTTTCTCAGAGCCGAGCAGACTAGCGCTGGGTGTCCCTAGGAATGGCTGCTCCGAACCACCGTTTCTCGTGTTTGCCTTTCTGGTGCGTTTCTTATATATATGTCTGCTGCAGAGCGACCAGGGTCTCTGATGAAAAGTCAGTCCTTCACCGTTCTCAAGAAAAATGTTGGCCACAAATGCACTTTAGAAGGTTTACATATTGAAAAAGGCAAGTAGCTGAGTCATTGACTCTTTTTAAACGTTAAGTAGTCAAAGAAGGAAATTAATGAAGAGACTATTTAGCAAGACACCGGAATGACCTTTTGATCTACCTGCTGAGGTGAGTTTAGCTTTCAGGTTATACCTGGCATTAGCTTTCTGTTGGATGTGGACAGTAGTTAAAACAGTGTTTAGGAAGAGATGTGTAAAGAAGTAGGGGTAGCAGCAGCTAGAGGATAGACAAGAGGCAGATCTGGGAAGGTGGGAAAACAGCGAACTCAAGCCAACGTTGTAATCTTGAATTAGCTGAAAGTAGAGATCACCCTGTTATGCAACCATTATGACTTCGGCATTAAAGTACCTGGAGAGCACATGTTCCTGCAGCTCCTGAACCTTGTGAAATGTAATTTATTCCAGGAAAATTTATCTTGGCATTTTGGAAGTTAAAAGTCAGGTTTGGGATGTAAATATTTAGTGAAAGATAGCCAGTGATCAAAACATTCAGAAAGAGGAACTGACTTTTCTTTTATAAAGAAGTTGCCTAAGTGCCGCTAATACCCTTGGCCAAAGCACAATTACAGGTATGTCTTAAAGCTGCCAAGATCTTTTATGATTATTTTATAGCCTGAAAATCAGTTATAAACTCAATAACTTTATCTTTAGCCCCATGGCTAGCTTCCTTACCTCGTGACTCTAAAGCCTCCTCAATTACAAGAAAAAAGTATGCCAGGGTCTCCTAAAACCTTTACATTTTGTATTGGTCGGTATATCACTGAGGGTTACCTGTCTAAGAGCAGAGAGGGTTCTGACAATATTAAGCATTCTGTGTGCTAAAGAAAGAAGAACTCCCTTGAATGTGTCTTCAACCTCAGGACTATGGATTTAGTAGAAATGAGAGTCAGTTCTGATGAGATGGTGCCCTATTGTAACTTGCTGCCATGATTGATTGATAGATTGTGAGACAAGTGAAGTATCTTTTCCTTTTATTTAAGGTTTAGCCAACAGTCTCTGGAAATTATCTTGGATTTGATGATTTACTTGGATGGGGGTTCAAATATATATTAATATTTATTCAGTGACTATGAATACATATTCATTCACATGTATTCAGTATGAACATAGGTGAGAAGAGATGAGCGAGTCAAACTGCGAGACAGTCCAAGTTCCTTGGTACTTCTTAATTCCTCTGATAATATCACAGATTGGTAGGCCAACCTTACTTTTCTCTGTCCCGGTAACCTGGATTTAGAAATTCAGAATTCATTTATTTTTAATTTTTATCCTTTGGTCCTCAATAATTTTGCATCC